GACGCGCGTTATCCAAGTCCGCCAGTAATTAGAGATGCGTACAAAAATATTAATTTTTAAATATTCGTGATCAGTATTAGCCGAATACGAATATTCGGTAAATGTCTCCTATTCGCCGTATACGAATATTCGTATTCGTATTCGTTGCATCACTAGTTTTTACTTAATTTTTTAATATAAATTCTAACTCTTTCTATAGCTATGTAATTATGCAACCACTGTTTAACCTAGGGTTGAATTATTATGATTTGTTAAGTTTACGTGAACACTGCACATTTATCGCGTATATTAACTTATTTTATATTCCCGACGTTTCGAGCACTTTACATCACAGATGGTTACACAAATCTCATGTAGTGGCGAGAGCGATCCTGTACGTGTTCACATACTGCAGACTTCCCTCGTGTTTGGCCTCTCTTACATAGGACAAACTAAAATATAAATAAATACCGCGATAAGGAACACAAACCTGATGTGAAGAATCAACGCTATGGGAAGTCAGCAGTTTTTAAACACGTACAAGATCACCTCCGTCACTACATCAGATTTGACAGACCACAAATTCTCGCTAAAGAACACCGATTCTTCCCAAAGATGATCCGCGAGCCTTTCGAAATCAAAAACATTCTAATTTCAATAGAGAAGATGGCTGGGTGCTACCATCTACTTGATATCCTATGATTAATAAAATTAAAACCCAATACAAGCATATAACTGCAGGATATAAGATGCTATGTTCTTACTGCGTAAATCGGACCAAAAATTAACTATTTTAATCTGAAATTAGCTTGGGACGTCGAACCTCATTTTCGCTGGGTGGACACCCAGTGATGTAAAGTGCTCGAAACATCGCGAATATAAAATAAGTTAAAATATGCGTTAAAATCCTTAAAAACTAGTTTTATTTAAATATCAAGAATTAGATAAATATAGAGATTGATAGAGAAAGAGTGAGAGAGAGAGAGAGAGAGAGGAAGCAGTAACGTAAGAACCTTCACCCGTCTTTCTGCTTTGCAAGATTACTCTAGTTGTGAGGGTTTTGGAGAAGACCATAGTCTACCGTACAGGTCAATCACTACTCTAAATAACAATTAACAATTTCAGTACCTAATCTCCTAGTTTTCAGGCTAGCATAAGCGCTTGCATCAAAACCTTGAGCTATCACGGTTCGAAGACAAAATAATACTTATAAACACATTGTCCAAGATGCTATCGTCGACTGTTTAGATATGTTGCATGTTGTGTTACATAATTTGCAATAATGGAGCAATCTAAGATTAATGTGGCGAATGTTTTCCCGACGTTAGTCTTTCACGTGAAAGTGAAATCGGCCACAGATGAGCTGCAAGAGTGAGTTGACATGCGTGACAGTCCGATACGAATCGAAACGTAATTGTTGAATCGTGCTCTGCGTGTCGTGTTTTGTCTAAGATTGTTATGACGGCATGAATATTTAAAATTTCATTGTAATATCTACACGAAATCCTTGTAATATATGCTTAGGAGTCCGTCTAGCACTAGCGTCTTGTTAGCACTCACACTACTTCTGGCGCCAAGTAAAAGTTTAGTTACTTCTGTGTTCCGATTTGGAGTGTAATCGAGCTCGTCTGATTAGACTGTGAGGCAATTCCTCTTAGCCTTTCCATCATAATGCATCTGTGGCTTTTTGGAAATTGGTTAGTGGTGTCTATGGGCTTCAGAAGAAATTTTTATCATCAGGTGAACTTAAGCGCGTTTACCACTCCAATATATATATCAGGGCTCGGATAACGGTATATTTTACGAAACGTTTTCGCCTTAAATACCTAAAAACTAATTTTTTTCGTATATGTTCGAACGGAATCATAATAAAAGCGTTTATGAAGAGAACGAAATTTTAAATCTTTCTTGTTCAATAAAACGTTTTTAACAATTTTAAACAGTTTTTCCCATTTTTTGGCCCTGTAATACGAAACAAAAATAACTTATCTTATAGATTTAAACTTGTCGTGGCACGCGCCTTATTCCTGCGGAATAAACCGTTTTTTTTACGTTTTCACATTACGTTCTCATTTCGTTTTTGTTCCGAACAAAATGTTATACTAGGAAACCTCCCAAACGTTTTAAAAACGTTATTTTTAATAACGTTTCCGAGCCCTGAATATTATAATAAATTTGTTATGAGTGATAGGATTCCTTTTATTGGTTTTAGGACTCCTTCTTTGGTTGTAGGTCTTCTGCCTTCTTCCTGCTGTCAAACAGCAGTACTTGCACTGCTGTGTTCCGTTTTGAAGGGTATAGAGAGTCATTATAATTACAGGCCGTAAGGCATTCCATCTTTGTCCTCACAGGTGACAACGCATCTGTGTGAAGTTGGCTGCACGTGTAAATGGCCTGTAGTCATTTACTTTCAAGTGGACTGTAAGACAGTGTCGCTTCGGTTTTATATTAAAAACTATTATCTCTTCGGATACGTCTAATGCAAATGCTTTTTTATGAAACGTTGGTGACAACTTGTGGTGAAATTCAATTGAGTTCTATTCTACTAAAGTTTTTCGACAAATATATGATGTACGCATATTCTGATGCACAAATTAACAAACATCTATATACGTAAATTAATAATACCTTGTTATAATTCAACTATAACAATATTTTTAATTTATTAAAGACTTGTTAATTAAAATGTTCTCCTATTTTCATAATACGAATATGTTGGAGATTTAAATAGAGATGATCACTTGTTTTTTTTTAAAGACAGATTTCTACCCGCTTTCGCTTCGCACTGTGCATGAAAATCGAATTAGGAATGTAAATAGATTCGTGCTAAGCAGTAAATAGAATTATTAGATCACATTAAGTAATAGGAAGATGTAATATGAAATACAAACATTCGTTCGTGGGTTCGTTCGTGAGTACATATATGCACAAAAAACTTGTACTTACGGTTGAATCTTTAAGACTTAAATATACCGAATACAGTTTCATATCTTAATATTATTACGAAGGATACCTCGCAATAATATTACAACAACAATGTTTTTTACGTTATACACTGACAACCATGAGGCAGAATTTTTTGTAATTAGTGCAATCTTAGAAAGGCAAAAGATACAGTTCCAAAGAGAGGATAAAGATACCTTCATCAATGCCACAATTGTAGCTCCTCATGAGACCACTACATAACACAGACCTCTCCCAAAGACTGCCAGACTGCCACAAATTATAGTCCGGACTGATACACAAACTATTTGTGTACGCTGTACGCTTGATGGGATGAGGTTACCAGTCGAGGAAATTCTTACACAGTGATAGTCTGCTCTACAAGGTATTGAATATTGTCAATGATATAGCACTTTAGCTTATTAATCGTTTGGATAAATAGTCTCCTTCAACAGGGAGTAATGTCTATGACGCGAGGCGTTTGGCATTGCGTTCACCAATCTTCAACAACGCAATGCGTGACAAATTAGAATATGTGTGCATGACATTTATTGCAACTTTTACAAATATAAAGAGAGGTATATGTCAGCTTCAACTTATTCAACGTGGTAGAGCCATGCTGCAGCTATATTAGTAGTATAGTTGTAGCACGAATGGGTTGGCTCGAAGGACTACGCTCTCACAGAATACCAGCGTAAAATAGCAGTTTAACACTGCTGTGTTTCGTATGGTGAGTGTAGAGAACCGAAGACACTTTTTATTGGAAAACAGGCATTGCAACTTAGTCCTCACGGGAGTGACAACGCATCTGCATTTTGATTCGCAAATGAGGATAAATGTAGATGTCTATGGGCCGCAGCAACCACTTACCATCAGGTGGATTGAGTGCTCGTTTGTCACCCTATTCCTATAAAAAAAGCTGTAGATTGTTACATATCGATTTCGACGAGAAACTTTATTAGAATTTAAAATCTTGACTCTTATCCTCACTTGATACAAACTTGACATATCCTCAATAAGCGGTATATAAATACTACTAACTATGGCTCATTTTCTGTCTGGAATTCTGTTTAGGTAGGTTCCTCAAGCCTAAAAGAAACACATCTGCACATTCTAATTGAACGAGCACCCTCAATGCGCAAATGTAGCACTCAACTCAGGAGCTACGCTACTCACTTAGCACAGAACAAGTAAAAATGCTCACAACTAAGCAATTCCTCCAATTAATTGAAGATGTAGGGCTAAACTAAACTATAGCTACAGCAGCGATCGCAATAGTTCATACTGGTAGCAGTGATATTATTGGAACGAAGTTCCTTATCGCACGGTACGAATTTGACGGATGGGGGCTAAGCGAGAAAATGTGTAAGATTTTTCCGTCACGACCCCCTTTCTATAGTGCGAGCAAGATGGAATAATATCCATTGCCCTCGCACTTTTTCTTATCTTGCAATGAAAGATATATTATTTTGAATGACGCTTTATGTTAATAGACGCTAGTAATTCATTTATTTGCATTTGTCAATCCGTAATATAATACGTTTATCAATAATAATATACTGTGAAAGGAAATTCGTTCCGTACCGAGTGTTCTACGACACTCACGCATATATTTTACTGGTCTTGCTAGACCTGCATAGCTGCTCGCACAAAAAGGCATCCAGAGTTATATTCAGGGTTGAAGGGTAAGTAAGTTCGTATAATCAATTGCACGCTTTGACGTTAATACAATCAGACGTTTCATTTCGGAAATCCATTAAGGTTTATATCCATTATATTAACTATGTTAAAAGTTAATCACCTATGATTTTACGCGGATCTTAGTTATTTAATTATATTAAAATTAATCAGCCAAAATCCACGTAAAACTAAGGCCATTATATAAGTCGCCAGAGATAACAACGCATGTGTAACTTTTTTGAAGTTGCTTACAACTGTCCATAGGCTAAGGTACCTAAATAGCATCAAGGGAAATGTTTACTCATTTGTCAATATAATATTAAAAATATATAATTTAGAAACGAAATTTCTATTATTTTATTTGCTTAATGTTAATAAATATAATATAATAAACGTACGGTAACTTTCCAGATGAGGAAGGTGGTGTGGTCGCGAGGCACGGTCCGGAACGCTGGGTCCACGGCGCGTGCGCTGTTGCCCTCATCATCCTGCAACATTATCGCACCATAACTATTGCTATTTGCCAAATTGTTGAACCCCGGCTCTTTAATAAAGTCGATCTATCAGAAACATATAGGTAATGGTTATATTTCTTTTATAGGATAGGGTGACAAACGAGCACACAGTCCACCTGATGGTAAGTGGTTGTTGTGACCCATATACATCCACATCTATCCTCAATAAACAATCAAAATGCAGATGCGTTGTCACCCGTGAGGACTAAGATGCAATGCCTCTTTTCCAGTAAAAAGGGTCTCCGGTTCTCTACACTCGCTATAAGAAACACAGCAGTGTTAAGCTTTTATTTTACGCTGGTATTCTGTGAGAGCGTGGTCCTTCCCCGGTAGATATATCTGCAGCATGGCTCTACCACGTCTAATGATCTTATGATCTCATTGTTATAATAAGTATTATGGCTTTAACCATAGAGGCTTTAACTGCCTTGTGGGTCAAGTGATCATGCTCTCACAAAATACCAGCGTAAAATAATAGTTTAATGCTGCTTTGTTTCGTATGGTGAGTGTAGAGAACCGGAGATCATTTTTACTGGAAATGAGGCATTCTATCTAGACCTCAGGGGTAACAACGCATCTGCATTTTGATTCAGAATCGCGAATAGATGAAGATGTCTATGAACTACATTCACTTACCATCAAGTGGACCGTGTGCTCATCTGTCACCCTGATTCTATAAAAATAAATCAATGTAAGTAAGTGATAAGTATCTTTAATGCTTTATAAAATTTACATTTTCGATGGGTGCTGCTTGAAGTACACTGCTAAACGAAAAGATTGACATATCATATTACAGTACAACTATTACAATATATATATATATATATATATATATATATATATATATATATATATCCAGGCAGACGCTGTTCTGCCCTTTTCGAAGACCCTCTGTCCTATTAAAAAATCCTTAAATTCGTAATAAAAAATTTTGAGGGTCATTTATCGGGATAAAAACTATCCTATCTCTCAAGTTGGACCAAAACGCACACAGTGTGCAAAATTTCATTGAAATCAGTTCAATAGTTTAGGACTCCATCGCGGACAAACAACGCACGTAATTTTTATATATAAAGATGAATGAAATAAAACTACCACGTTATTTGAAATGAGTGTTTTGGTAGGTATAATAGGTATAAAAACATTATATTACGCCATTATTAAGCTGAAAATGCTAAAAGCTTAGTTACATATTTTATGAAATGTTTTATCAATATTAACTTACATGTTACGTTATTTGATGTTATTAAATGGATATCTAAAAAGTAAAGTAAAGTCGCAGCCAATTACGTCCCACTGCTGGGCACAGGCCTCCTCTCATTTCTGAGAGGGTTTTAGGGCAAGGAAATGTCCACCGCGCTGCCCCAATACGTGTTGGCGAACTTCACATGTCATCGAAATATTTTTTTTATTTCTCAGACATGCAGGTTTCCTCACGATGTTTTCCTTCACCGCCGAGCACGTGGTAAATCAGCACTTAAAATTGCAATTAACAATTTCATTGGTGCCGGCGGGGATCGAAGCCGTGGTAGCTCAGATGGTTAGCGCTCGCTGTAAATGGATATCTACTATTATTTATTCTGTGACAATACTATTATAGCTGCATAAAGTTACATTTATCGATTTATCTGTATATTTTTCTTCTCTCTATTAATAATTTACTATCCAATGCTGGATAAATCCGTAATTTTACTGTACGCGGGTTCGCGGTACCTGGGTTCGATCTCCGCCGGCTCGACTGTGAACTGTGAATGAAATCATCGTGAAAAATAGGTTTCTTCACTATTTTTGAAGAACCACATAATTTTTTTTTAATTTTAGGTTTGTTTTTAAAAATTCGTACAACGCTTGCTAACGGGAGTGGTGCATGTCCAACGGGAGACTTTTATGGGCTGATGACGAAGAAGAAGTATACGACCTTGACTGACTCGTTGGTCTAGTGGTCGTTAACGCGGTTGCTGATCATGAGATCCCAGCTTCGAATCCCGCGTCGGGCTAAAATTAGTTATTGGGTTTAACGGTCAAGAAATTCTCAGTAACTGCTCGGATTCTCAAAGTCAGGAAGTTGGCGGTATCTCACCCCCGTGCCTCGGCTAGCACGTAAAGCCGTTGGTCCTACGCCTAATCTCTCTCCGGTCGTGTTTTATAGCCGTCCCATCGGACTATGAGAGTGATGGAATAGTGAGTGCACTTGTAAACACATTCATGCACTATAATCCTGTACTGCGCAGATGGTTAGTCTCCGTAAAGATTGCCGCCGTGACCGTAATTCTTATTATTATTATACGACCTTACTTTTCGATTCGAATTAATCTATAGTGCGTGATGTAAGAAGAATCGAAAACAATGCTGAAAAAACAAACACCAAAACCAACAATTTATCACAAAAATTGGTGGCTTATACTGGGATTTGATTCCCGGGTATATCGCATGTCATGGTGGTCAGGTCTTTTGACGAACAAGGGGCGCAGTTGGCATAGAAATGTATGACGTAGTGTTACGTTATCGATAAGGTACATAAAATCAATACGCGCATTTATAATTGCGACGGATCTTTTTAAATTTGGTGTTCGGACAGGAAGTTTTCAATAAATTCAAGAAATAAATATAAAGATCCTGCAGCGTACAAATAAAATATCATAGAAATTGTCAGGTTAATTCAGTAATACTACCCAAAAGCTGTATTGAAGTTCGTTTTTCCACTAGAGGCATTATTTTCTGGCTGTATAAAAGCTGTATAAGATCTTATACAGTTCTCATAAGTAAAAAATTGGTACAAATTATGCAGCTTTACGCGTTAGTAGCGCTGTACAGTAGATGTACAAGCATAAAAGTGGCTGTATAACTGCTGTATTACAGCTTTTATTTGGTGTGCAAGGAAACTATTACACTACAGATATTGTTTATAAGTAACTTTTAAAGACAAACCTGCTAAATCGGTTTTTGAACGGAATTACAAATGAATATAAAACAAAAAGAACGTTTATTGAATGATGGCCACATTTAATGTCTTAGTAACATAATATATTTAACATATTAATATTATATTCGAATTGGAGTTGAGTTTTGACGGTAATAATTTGTGAATTGAAAGTGTATTATTTAAAATTAAGCATTTTGTATAACCGACTTCAATATAAACTATTAAGAATAACTAAAAAACCTTTGGTTAGATCTTGATTAAATTTATATGGAATTACATGTGAAGGATCAGTTTTCAGATAAAAATAGAATTATCAAATTCGGTTCACCCAGAAAAAAGTTATGAGGGAACACACATAAAAAAACATACAGTCGAATTAAGTACTTCCTCCTGTTTGAAGTCGGTAGAAAATTAGATTTACGGTAAACTTGTATATATTTTCTATCATAAAATTGACGCGCCAACAAAATAACAAAATAATAGGTACGACTTTCCATTGACGTCAGTGGAGTTTGGTGTTGATACGTATTTTTACAGAAAGATTACACTATTATAAGCACACACACAAAGTCTCAATATACGGAAACGCGTAATTTTTGAGAAAAGAATAATTAAAAATCAATTATTCTTGCAATGTTTATGTCTAATCTGCTAATAAACTGGCGCCATTTTGTAATGTCATTGTCGACGTCAATAGGGATGTCGATTCTTTCCGAAAAAGGTCGATTTTTAAATCGATTCAAATCGTAAGCTGATGTATCGATTCCTAAAAAATCGATTTCTAAAATATCGATATTTTTTTCATGTTTGCATTTATAATGTAAATATAAATCCATTTTATGAGAAAAAATCCCCTTCATCATAAAAAAATAAGGGGACTGATTCATAAGGATTTCTGTATCTATTTTGAGACTGCTACGTCTCCGGCGCTGCGGGAAGAGCAACCTCTACGCCTTAGCGTAACAAATCGCAGGCATCCCTCCTCGCCTCCGCAGCTTCGGCTTGTTGGTCGCCTTCGGCGACCAGCCTCAGCGGCTCCGGCTCGTCCAATGCCTACGATTTGTTACAGCAGGCGGAGGCTGCTCCCCCTACGCGCCTCCGGCTCTATAAAACCACTCTAGGGGTAGGACAGACTCGTACCAGGTGGAGTCGGGGTCAATCAATTCGGTTCTTTGACATAAGTTGAACCTAACCTATTTTATTTATCTGCCCTAATAGGTACTGTTAAATAAAACAAATTTCAATAAGAGATCATTTATCATGGTATCTTTCTTGTTTTTCATAAAATGGGTTTATATTTACATTATAAATAGAAACATTAAAAAAATATAGACATTTTAGAAATCGATTTTTTGTGAACCGATACATCAGCTTACGATTTGAATCGATTTAAAAATCGACCTTTTTCGGAAAGAATCGACATCCCTATTGACGTCGACAATGACATTACAAAATGGCGCCAGTTTATTAGCAAATTAGACGTAAACATTGCAAGAATATTTGATTTTCAATTATTCTTTTCTCAAAAATTACGCGTTTCCGTATATTGAGACATTGTGTGTGTGCTTATAATAGTGTAATCTTTCTGTAAAAATACGTATCAACACCAAACTCCACTGACGTCAATGGAAAGCTAAGCCAAATAATAAATACAGTAACTAAATATCGGTTGTATAGGTTAAAATAAAAAAAAAATTATGAATATGAAGGCACATTGGGCCCCAGTGATCATTAGTCTAACTGAAAGAAATGGTACAGGCTGAGACTAATGTCTCATATTTCCAACATTATATTTAAAAAAAAATTTTTACGGGTCTTAAAATGGCCACGATTTCCTAAATAGCCTAAACGGTATTTCGAAGGTCTATAAGTCTTAGTAGCTGTACTATGTACGTTATGGATTATATCATGCAGCCATTGGTTTTTAATCCTTTTTGTAATAGGATATTTTCATTAATTACGCCAACTTACGCTGTATAGCAGTTTTTTCAAACATATAATTATCTTTAGAGATACGTATAAAAGATGAAAAGCCTTGTCTTGGGAACAGTGTTGGATAAATTTAATATAGACTTAACATGACTTTTAACTGCACCAAATCTATTTCGTTTTTTCCACATATTGATAACAAATTAATTTTGTTCACTAGCACAACATAAACATGCAACGCATGCAAAATGGCGATATTCTGTCACATGTTTCCCGTAAAACATGTAGAGTTCACATGTTATGATGTTTATTTTTTAAATTTCATTTTCATTTTCCAATAACAATCTTATCTTTTCACAAAAATGAAATCGAAGTGCTTAAAAGTGTACAGCATTTTAATAAATACTTAATAAAATATTACATACGTAGAGCGTTACGCTTGAAACCCTGATGGTGTTAGCAGACCACGTTTAGCCAAAAATAGGGGTATAGACGAAAAGTTGTGAAAGAAGTGATAGGTGGCCAGCCCATCGTCTATACAATCACAAACTCAATATCCCATTAGTCGCCTATTACGACATGCTAGGCAATAACACAATTTGGCACGTTTCTTTTTTCCCACGTCCCATAAAAACTTGGGCCTATATGTCCTAGACAATCACGTGAGAAATAAGTTGTTCCGAAAATTTAACTATCTATTATTATAGTAATAATTACAATTTAATAAAATTTTATCTTTTGGAACAACTTATCGAGTCTCCATATCCATATTACCTACTCAATTCTTAGAATATTCTCGGCTCGGAATATAAAATAAAACTAAATAGGTATTGTTATTGTTTTCTAAAATAATATTAATTACTTATGTTATTGTTAAGCACAGATGTAATATTTAATGCCGGTATCTGTCAAAATAAATAAAAAAAACTATAATTAGGTCGATGTAACGGTCACGATCTTAACTTCATTGAACTTGAAGCAAAATGATGATGCGAGAGATCGATTAATATCAATTGTCAGCGGTTTAGAAATATACAAAATGTTTATTGTGTTCGTTAGTACTAATATTTATTTTGTTATTATGTGCAATCGATTGCATATATTGAAGTGTTACATATACAAATTTCACAAATAATAATTATATTATCTAGAAGATTTGGAGGTACTCACTATTGTTTCGTTTATGAAATGTAAAATATTGCAATATCTGTAAATTTAATCAATTATTTTCAACACAATATTACTATTACCTATAGAAAAATAATCACGCATTTGAATTTTGTTTAATAGAATAAAATCATTAAAATATTTATGTCAAATACGAAACAATAATTACTTGATCGGCGCCAATCTCGAGGATGTGCATTTTCGTGTCAGCGTTCAGGAGCGAACTGCTCCCATCACCGCGAATTGCGCTAGACGCTCCCACCGAGCTTAATCGAACCATTCAAGAAGGCAAAACTTATTGTTGTGAGTCACGAACACAGAGTACCTTCACGGATCAAGATACGACCGCATCGGTTATACACTCCACACAGACTAACTACACTAAGCACCGATCGCCGACGGCAAAAAAAGAAAATTATTTTACGCCGCGTGCACTTACGTATTTCAAAACGGAATAAATTGAACACCGCGAAAGTCGGAGATGTGGCGTACGGCGGTCGCTGTCCTGCCAGTGTTCCAGCTATCGCGTTTTCATATCAGCTTCGGCAACTGTTTTATAATGACCATTAATTATTAGTGAATAACAAGTAAGTAATTAGCATTGATAAAGAATGGATAAATCACACACTTACGGAATCATTTGAAGTTAGGAATATGAATATTTTGAGGGTAGTCCAAAAATTTTCTTACAATTGACGATATAACGACGAATCAATAAAGTCGAAGTCGAGTAGTTAATTATTCACAATTTGTTGTGACATCCAATAGCTACTTTCTTACTACCCTTATATAGAATGAACCCTTATATAGTATGTCTTTCATATGTACATACATACTTCTCTTCAGTCCATAACTGGACATAGCATGTTTATAAATAAAGAGAAACACCGGCAATCTTTTCAATCAACCGGCAATATTTTCTGTAAAATTTTACAAATGTGGCGTTAATATTTGATGTAGTGAAAAAATAATAGTTGACGTATTTTTGTTATATGATTTGAGTTTATTGAAGCACTTATAGACAGTAAGTTCCCTAAGTACTATTACTTAGTACCTACTACTGCAGCCTCATATATTGCCTCAAAGTATGGCTCTGAGACACCTGCATCCATCGACTACCTGCGTTCTTCATCAGGTCGTCATTCTATCTAGTGGGGAACGCCCAGTACTGAGTTTGATATTACGGGGCTACAACTCGACAACCTTTCTGCACTGTTGGTGTCGTTCCTATATGGCCGGCCCATTACATGTATATAATTATATAATTATATATATTATTTATTGTAGGTATATACCTAAAGTTAGCCAGTCATTTAATGAAACTAATTTTATCGTGTTTAATTTTATAAATTAAAGATAAAATCCGTAAAATAGGTTTATTTAATGCGTAGTGTTTGCGTAAATATAAGAAATCAGTATAATTTTTTTTATAGGATAGCGTGACAAACGAGCACACAGTAAATCTGATGTTAGGTGTTTGCTGTGGCCCATAGACATCTACATCTATTCTTGTTTGCGAATCAAAATGCAGATGCGTTGTCACCCGTAAGGACTAAGATGGAATACCTCTTTTCCAGTAAAAAGGGTCTCCGGTTCTCTACACTCGCCATACGAAGCATAGCAGTTTTAAGCTGCTATTTTACGCTGGTATTCTGTGAGAGCGTGGTCCTTCCCCGGTCGAGCCGACCCATTCGTGTTACAACTATACTACTAATATAGCTGTACCACGTATAAAAATAATAATAATACATAATAATAATAAATAATATGTAAGTTACTCTTGTTCTGCGGATCTCAGAGCACAGAGTAAAGAGTAGTCGGTTTCTTTACTCATGTGTCTCAGAGTATGCAAGTTACCCAAACCTTAGGTAATAATTATTATTACCGAAATAAAATAAACGAGGTCCTTAATTACTATACTTAGAAATATAAGATAATAAGACCTGAATTTTTTATCTTAAATCCGATTGAATTTTCATAAAAGCATATAATTTATAAGCCTAACGGATCAGTAAGTTTAAGAGACAATGAACCAGACATATTGTTAGCAGAATTGAAATTCTTTGAGGGGAAAATGGTTTAAAGGTAGCAGCTTCATACCAGCACGCATAGCGTAGATATTTTTTTATAGGAGCGAGGGCAAACGAACATGCGGCTCACCTGATGGTAAGTGACTACCGCCGCCCATGAACAACTGCAACAGCAGGGGAATTGCAGATGCGTTGCCGGCCTTTTAAAAAGGATTAAGCTCTTTTCTTGAAGGTCCGTAAGTAGTATCGGTTTGGAAAAATCGCCGGTGGTAAATTATTCTACAGAGAGGTCGTACGCAGAAGAAACTCCTAGTGAAACGTACAGTGGTGGACCGCCAAGCATCCAGATGGTGTGGATGGTATCGGGAGTTGCGTTTGTGAAATTTGGCGGCTGGGATTAATGCGAACAATTCCTCAGAGCACTCCCCGTGGCAAATGCGAAAGAAAATGCAAAGGGATGCAATATCTCTTCGCAGCGCCATTGAATCGAGCCAATCGGAAAGGACTCGGTCGTTGACGATTCGAGCTGCTCTGCGCTGGATGTGGTCAAGTGGAAGGAGCTGGCACTGGAGAGCCCCAGTCCAGAGATGGGAACAGTATTCTATGTGAGGCCGAACCTGCGCCTTGTAAAAGTTGCAAGCCGTGTGACGGCATGAAATACTGATTTCGGATGACTAGATTAGTAGATTTATTTAAAGCTATATTTATATTTTTATAGTAAGGTTTATTACGTATAGTAAAGTGTACAGACATCGCAGAGATCTAAATAAATTGGCTATTTATTTAGATGCTTATGGCAGATACGAACTAATAGAACAGCAACACCATATAGAAACTGCTACCAGCAAACTAAGCATAAATATTATGCTTTCACATCCCAAATTATAAACATAGTAACTAACGCCAACGTAATGTTATTGATTATGCTTGCTTTCAATTTCCCAATCTAACGAATATACTCGTATTTACCTACACATAGATGTCATCATTATCATCATCGCTAAAATACTTCACAAGTCCATTGCTGAATATAGGCCTTCTCCATGGAATGTCACACAACACAGTTCTTAGCCACCTGCATTCATCGACTTCCTGTCTAAACCTCATGTCTAACCATGTCTTCACTAGATAATGATGGCCGTTTATACTTAACTTACCGGTACGAAGCTGCCAATCGAGAACCAAACACAGGCCAGGTAGAGTCACTATCACCTGGTCTATCCGATAACCCATTCTTTTATTGTAAAATCGGGGAAAATCGTCAATAATCAACTTCTAAAGTAAATCGCACATCATCACAACTACATCACACGTTATCAAAACTTAAAGTTAAAAAGTTACAGCCCATATACGTCCCACTGCTGAGCACAGGCCTCCTCTCATTTCTAAGAGAGATTTTTTATAGGATAAGGGTGACAAACAAGCACACAGTCCACCTGATGGTAAGTGGTTGCTGTGGCCCATAGAAAATTACATTACGGCAAGGAATTGTCCACCGCGCTGCCCCAATGCGTCTTGGCGAACTTCACATGTCTTCGATATATTTTTTTCTTATTTCTGAGATGTGCGGGTTTCCTCACGATGTCTTACTTCACCGCCGAGCACGTGATAAATCAGCACTTAAAATTGCAATTAACAATTTCATTGGTGCGGCGGGGATCGAACCCGGGTAGTTCGCGTACTGTGAAATTTATAGCGAGCGCTAACCATCTGAGCTACTACGGCTCTATTATAACAATGAAAATTTAGTTATCTAATTTTAATCTCGAATAATTAAGGTAAAAGTACTTATGAGTAGTTAATATATATTTTCCTACCTGGTATTCATCCATGAGCGTTAGACGCCTTGCGAGTGTGGAACTTGTTTGCGATGCTTTCTCTGATAAAATTCTTGCTCGAAGGTTGATATGACAGTTGTAAATTGTGTTGGCCACATTACCATGTGCAGTGTTAGCGGAGACTAAAATTTTTGCTTACATCGTATTTGCTCGTTGCGGGATCTACGCTTCGTCGCCCTCTTTGTTTACTTCAACGCGATCACGCTTTCGTCATAGATATGCTGATTATTTTTTCAAAACTCACATTCAGTTTCTTCCTAAAATATAATATGTATGTCGTAGCTGCTAGCGTAGTTGCGAATATTCAGTCAATACAAGCTTACTAGTAGTAGTGCTTTTTAGGTCACTGATAAAATATGGCTCTATGCGATATGAAGGGAAATGTGTACTGTACTTAGTAAAACAAAATCTATGTTTACTTATCGCAATCTTATATTTCACAGTTAAAATATTAATTACAATACTTTTAGGTCGTATAAATTTTTAGTTTAGTCACTTGACTTTAGACACAATATTATGTAAATAAAAAAAGACCTAAAGGTTAACAAACCATATATGTACCAATTTTCGACGATTCCAAACATGACTACTTATTCGGCCTTAACACTTTCTAGGAATCCTTTCTAAGGATTCTTAAATTTTAAAATGATATTTAACTATTATATGTTATAGAAATGGGTATTAAAGTATATTATATTATTAATATATATATGTATTTGAATTAATACACTAACTTGCTTCATATCAAGTGAAATATTATATGTATTCATCATCATCATCATTACAGCCCTTCACAAGTCCACTGCTGAACATAGGCCTCCCCCAAGGAATGCCGCAAAGCACGGTCCCGAGCCACCTGCATCCATTGACTTCCTGCATATTTTACCAGGTCGTCACTCCATCTAGTGGGGGGATGCCCTACACTTCGCCTGCCGGTACGAGGCTGTCACTGAAAAACGTTTCTTTCCCATCGGTTGTCGGTTTTTCGAGCTATATGGCCGGCCCATTGCCACTTCAGCATACTATTTCTTTGGGCTATGTCGGTTACTCTGGTTCTACTGCGGATATCCTTGCGGATATTTAGTGTAACAGTGGTAGAGCCACGCGGTAGCTTTTGCTGTCGCACGGATGGGCCGGCTCGAACCGGGGTAGTACCACGACCTCACAGAAAACCTGCGTGAAGTAGAGGTTTACCTCTGCGTTTCGCTTGGTGAGTGCAGGTGGCCGGAGGCCCTTTTTACTGGAAATGAGGCATTCCATCTTAGTCCTCACGGGTTACAACGCATCTACATTTTGATTTGTAACAGATGATAGATGTAGATGTCTATGGG